GTGGTAGAGCGCTTGCCTTGCATGCCTGAGGCCCTGGGTTCGATTTCTCAGCACCACATACACAGAAAAAGCCGGAAGTGGCGCTGTGGCTCAAGTGGTAGAGCGCTAGCCTTGAGCTGAAGAGCTGAGGGACAGCGCCCAGGCCCAGAGTTCAGGCCCCACGACCGACCAAAAAAAAGGGGGGGGCAGGGGAGAAGAGAGAAAGGCTGGGTGGGAATGAGCCCCCAGGACAAGCCCCTAATGACTTGCTGCTCCACATCTGAATTAAGGTGTCAGATTATAAATCCATCAAGTGAGTAACTCAGAAAACCAGGTCTCCAATACACCCAGACAGGAGATTTACTAATCTAGACCTTTATGTCTTCCTTTCTTCCCTGCTTCCTTTCTCTTTCTTTCTCTTCTTTCCGTGCGTGCATGTGTGTGTGTGTGTATGTGTGTGTGTGTGTTTGTGCTGGCCCTGGGGTTTGAACTCAGGGCTGGGGCGCTGTCCCTGAGCAAAAGAGGTCAAAGCTATCTCTCTACCTCTTGAGCCACAGCTCCACTTGTGGTTTTTTGGTGGTTCATTGGAGATAAGAGTCTCACAGACTTTCCTGCCGCTGCTGGCTTCCAACCAGGATCCTTAGATCTCAGCCTCCTAAGTAGCTGGAATTACAATCATGAGCCCCTCATGCCTGGCTTCTGTGAGACTCTTATGTCCAGTGAACCGCCCGGAAGCTGGAAGTGGAGCCTTGGCTCCAGTGATATGAGCACCAGCCTTGAGCAAAAAAAGAAAAAGAAAAGCAAGCAAGCTCAGGGGTGGTGCTCAGGCCCTGAGTTCAAGCCCCAGGACTGACTCCCAATAAATAATAAATAATGGACCGTCACAACCAGTGGAAGATAAAACTGGGACCGCAGGAACAGCCAAACGGGATGAGTCTGGGGGGCACAGGATGGGGAGGGGGGCGTTGAGGGTCCAGCAGTTCTCCAAACCCTTGGCAGGAGGGTCCTACGGTCTCATTCTTCCGGACTGCCTGGCCATGGTCGGTCCAGAAGTTACCTGGGGGACCTCCCCCCGCACCTCTCACCCCGGATCTTTCATTAGCACAACAAAGACAATCCTTCAGTCTATCCAACCCAAAGAGTCTGGCTTCACAAAGCCCTAAATGAGTCAGATTAGTGCCCTGGAGGCCTGGGTAGCTCAAGCCTGCTTTACTCAGGAGGCTGAGATCTGAGGATCACGGTTCCACACCAGCCCAGACCGGAAAGTCTGTGAGACTCTAATCTCAAGTGAACCATCGCCCCGCCCCGCCCCAGCCAGGCCGCAAAAGAAGCCAGAAGTAGTGCTGTGACGTAAGTGGTAGAACACCAACCTTGAGCACAAAAAAAAGCTCAGGGCCAACGCCCAGGCCCTGAATTCAAGTCCCAACACCGGTGCACACACAGAAAGGCAAAGGAAAATCCTGACCATGCAGGAGCCAGTTCTGCCAATCTACAATTATTGCCCACCCTCCAGCCCCAAACCGGGCCGCATTCTAGCCCCAGGAAGAAGCTCAGGTTAGCAAAATCTGTGGCTGGAATTCCTCTCTAGATTTCCTCTGCCCTGGGGGGGGGAGAGCTGCTTCCCCGTCTCTCCACCTTCAGGGTTGGGCATTTAACCACAGCCAATCAACCCGGGCGGCCAAGGCGGGGCTTACAGTTGCTCAAATGCGTCCCGGGAGGTAGGCTTTCTCATTTTCCCTTGCAGACTCCCGAACTGTACGTGTGCGCTCGCTGGCTCGGCTCTAGAGTTGAGTTGCTGATCGTGGAGTGGGGCTGACACCTCGGAAGACAGCTATGGTGAGTCCGGGAGGCCTGGGTCTGAGGCAGGTAGGGGGACGTTACCAGCAGGGGAAGCCCCGGCAGTCTCCGGTGGTAGGCCGGCCCCAGCCAGCCTCTCCCGCCCTCAGGCTGAGTCCTGGGCGACCAGCTAGTTTGATCACTTCACCTCCAGCCTCCAGTGAGCCTTCCTGCACCTGGATCCAGTGTCCCCAGGCTGGGGGGCGGAGGGGGACTCTTGACAGTAAGTCCCTAAGTATTGGGTCTGGAGGGGGCAGGTGTGCCCGCCTGGGGAGATGGGCTCTTTCTGATGGAAATCGTTCTGGTCCTGGCCTGTTTCTAACGTTTAAAGGGGGGGGAAAGGTGAGTCAAATCAGCGGCTCACGCCTGTAATCCCTGACACTCAGGAAGCTGAGATCCCAAGTTCAAAGTCGGGGAGACTCAAGCCGGAAGTGGAGCTGTGGCTCCACAGTAGAGCACCGACTCGAGTGGAAAGGCTCAGGGGCGGTGCGCAGGCCTTGAGTTCAAGCCCCCGAAGGACAGACACGCGCACCCCCACGAATGTTGGTCCTGTGGGGCCTCGCTCCTCCTTCCTCAGGGATATTCCCTGATGCTGGCCTCTTTTGGAGACTGCAGGGAGGAATTGGAGGCTGGGTCCGGCCTGGGCTTGGGTGGAGACTCCCAGGCTTGGAGGTAGAAGAGGAATTTAAGAAAGTTTGTTTGTTTGCTTTCATTTTGTATTGTTTCTAACTAACAGGAGTTAAATCCTTTTAGGAACTAAACGCGTCCTAGGGTTTTGTAATTGGTTAACCAGGGTGTGACCAGGGTGTACGGGTGGGTGTTACTTTGCTTCTGGCTTTTTATCCACAATTCAAAGGGGCTGGAGGGGGGGGGGCTTTAATCGCTGCCCTTGGGTGGGGGGGGTGTAGCTGAGTTTTTTCCTTGGTGAGCCATTTTCAGCACTGCATGAAGAAAACAGTGGGGGTGGAGAGGCTGATGGATTCCACCTGTAATCCCAGCTAATCTGGAGGCTGAGATCTGAGGATCTGTGGTTCCTAGCCAGCCGTGGCAGGAAAGTCCATGAGACTCACTCCGATGAACCACCAAAAAGCCAGAAGTGCTGCTGTATGTGGCTCAAGTGGTACAGAGCACTAGTCTTCAGCGAAAAAGCACCCGGGCCCTGAGTTCAAACCACAGGATGGCACCAAACAACAAAACAAAACAAAATCACTTAATAGCTCTTAACGATAAAGGCAATTAACTATTGAGGTGTTGGGATTACAGGCTGTGTCACCAGCTTCAGGCCAGTCTGTAAAACTTATCTCCTATAAACTACTCACAAAACCGCTGGAAGTAGTTGGGGCTGGGAAGGCGGCTCAATGGTAGAGTGCTCCCCTAGCATGTATGAAGCCCAGGGTTCGATTCCTCAGCACCACATACACAGAAAAAGTAAGAAGTAGTGCTGTGGCTCAAGTGGTAGAGTGCTAGCAAAAGCAGCTCAGGGACAGCGCCCAGGTACGGAGTTCAAACCCCAGGATTGGCAAAAAAAAAAAAAAAAGCTGGAAGCGGTGCTGTGGTTCAAGCGGTAGAGTGCTAGCCTTGAGGGGAAAAAATATATGGGGGACAGCGTCTTGGGCCAGAGTTCAAACCCTAGTACCAGCAAAAGAACAAAAACAAAAAAAGCTCAAGTACTTTTCTGCCTGGGCTGGTTTCAAACCTCCGTCCTCAGATCTCAACCTCCTGAGTGGTTAGGGATTCCAGGTGTGAGCCTTCAGCATTGGTTTTTCTTAGTTTCTTTATACGGGCTCGTTATTGTTTGTCTTATCTGAGCTTTCATAGATTGATTCTCTCAAAAAAGTGGTTTAGCCACGCCCTGATGGCTCACACCTGTAATCCACGGTGAGATCTGGGCTGGGAAGGTGGCTCAGTGGTAGAGCGCTTGCCTTGCATGCTCAAGGCCCTGGGTTCGATTCCTCAGCACCACATAAGCAAAAAAGAAAAAAGCCGGAAGTGGCGCTGTGGCTCAACTGGTAGAGCACTAACCTTGAGCTGAAGAGCTGAGGGACAGCGCCCAGGCCCAGAGTTCAGGGCCCATGACCGGACCCAAAAAAAAAAAAAAAAGGCTGAGATCTGAGAATCTTGGTTCAAAGCCAGCCCAGCCCGGGCAGGAAGATCCACGAGACTCTGATCTCCAGTAAACCACCATAAAACTGGAAGTGGCGCTGTGGCTCAAGTAGTAGAGCGCTCGCCTTGAGCTGAAGAGCTGAGGGACGGCGCCCAGGCCCAGAGTTCAAGGCCCACAACCAACCCCCCCCCAAAAAAGTGATTTAATCACTTAACCCTTAATTATCATTTAGTGTGTACAATAATTCTGGTGGCCCTTTAAATTTCCTGGGAGATTAGTGTGACCACTTCTATTTCTGATGTCTTTTTTTTTTGCCAGTCCTGGGGCTTGAACTCTGGGCCTGGGCACTGTCCCTGAGCTTCTTTTACTCAAGGATAGCACTCTACCACTTGAGCCACAGCACTACTTACTTTTTCTGTGTGTGTGGTACTGAGGAATTGAACCCTGGGCTTCATGCATGCCAGGCAAGCGCTCTACTCCTAAGCCACATTGCCAGCCCTGTTTCTGATGTTGTTTAAGTTAGTAGGCTCATTAAGGGTTACTAATTGGAATAAACATTTCAAAGAAAATTTTTTTCCTCTTTGGTGGGGGAAGGGAGATTGTCCTTTTTGGGTCTTGAACTCTGGGCCTGGGCGCTGTCCCTCAGTTCTTCAGCTCAAGGCCAGCGCTCTACCACTTGAGCCACAGCGCCACTTCCGGCTTTTTCTGTGTATGTGGTGCTGAGGAATCGAACCCAGGGCCTCATGCATGCAAGGCAAGCGCTCTACCACTGAGCCACCTTCCCAGCCTGTTGGTACAGTTCTTGTCTCCAGTTAACCAGCAGAAAGCCAGGAGTGCAGCTGTGGTTCAAGTGGTAGAGCACCATTATTAGAAGGAGAAAGCACCCAGGCCCAGAGCTCAAGCCCCATGAACAACCAAAAAAGAAAAAAGTCTGCCCAGGCTGGCTTTCAACCATAATTGATCCTCATTTCTCAGCCTTCTGAGAAGCTAGGATCGTAGGTGGGTGGCGGTGCCACCAGCAACCTGGCTTCCCTGACCTTCTGTGTGGTTCCAGGACTGTGTGACCTTAGAGGACGTGGCCATGACCTTCACTGAAGAGGAATGGACTCTTCTGGATCCTTCCCAGAAGAATCTCTACAGGGAGGTGATGCTGGACGCGCTCTGGAGCCTGGCCTGCGTGGGTGAAGGTGAAGTCTCGCTCCTACTCGATCAATGAGAAAACTAGGGCTTCCTGCTCGCCAAGGCGGGGCGTGTGTGCACATTAATTCACCAAGGGAGCCCAGAGCTCATGCCTGTCATCCAGGTAGTCACGAGGCTGAGATCTGAGGATCCTGGTTCAAAGCCAGCCCAGACAGGAAAGTCTGTGAGACTCTTACTGACAATGAACCACCAGAAAAAACAGAAGTGGCACTGTGGCTCAAGTGGTAGAGCGTTCACCTTGAGCTGGAAAGCTGAGGGACAGCGCCCAGGCCCAGAGTTCAAGCCCCAGGACAAGCACATAAAGAGAACTTGGAGAGTGTGATTTGGTCTTTTTGTTGTTTTAGGTGGTAGTGGTCCTGGGGCTTGAACTCTAGGCCTGGGTGCTGTCCCGCAGCTCTTCAGCTCAAGTCTAGCACTACTTCTCGTTTCCTGGTGGTTTATTTATTGGAGATAAGAGTTTCATGGACTTTCCTGCCCAGGCTGGGTTTGAACTGTGATCCTCAGATCTCAGCCTCCTGAGTAGCTCGGATGACAGGCGGGAGCCACCAGCGCCTGGCTGATTTGGTTATTTTAACAGGCCTGGTAGTATTTTTCCTGTGAAGTAGGATAATTCATAATTTTTCTCTTTTTGGTCTATAATGTAGGAGGAATACAAGGAGATAAGAATGTTCCAAATGCCTCCAAAGCAAGGGAGAGAAATCTGAGGTAATTTCATCACACAGACAGATTTATTTCCCACAAAACAAAAACATGCCAAGAAGTTGACCCCGGTTTTATTTAATGTTGTCTTTCTATAACTCGGAAGGCCAGATGCTAAAATCGTCACTACAGGGGACACAGGGGATACAGACACAATGGCACAAAGGACATATTCTGGGTTTTTTGTTTTTTTTTTTTGGTCCGGTCGTGGGGCCTGAACTCTGGGCCTGGGCGCTGTCCCTCAGCTCTTCAGCTCAAGGCTAGCGCTCTACCACTTGAGCCACAGCACCACTTCTGGCTTTTTTCTTTTTGCTTATGTGGTGCTGAGGACTGGAACCCAGGGCCTCATGCATGCAAGGCAAGCGCTCTACCACTGAGCCACCTTCCCAGCCCCAAAAGACATATTCTGATTGCTCAGTTTGTATAAACTTTCTTCCCTGCACAAACTGATTAAAATGTGCAAAATTAACTTCCAAATTCTGAGTGTAAAATGTAGATAAAGCTGGGCACCCATGGCTCACGTTTGTCATCCCAGCTACTCAGGAGGCTGAGATCTGAGGATCACAGTTCAAAGCCAGCCCGGGCAGGAAAGTCCGTGAGACTCCATCTCTAGTGAACCACCAGAAAACCACAAGTGACACCCTGGCTCAAGTGGTAGAGCGCTGCACTCAAGCCCCATGATAGACAAAATAATTAGTAAACCAAACCTTACTCGTGCGTCCCCTTCCTCTTTTTTTCCCCAAACAGAGATCAGGTGTTTGAGAGACTCTTCGTGTACGAAGAGGATGGCCCTCAAAATGAAAAATTGTTCAGGCACCTCCAACTTCCATTCAGAAGGACTTTGGGGAGAAAGTCAGGTGAGCCTGGCGTGTGGGGTGACCCCCTCCCCGCCCCCCCATTGCCCTTGGGAATCCTCCCTGCTTCTAGATCACAGAGACATCGGAAACCTAAAGAGGCCATCTCTAGAAAGGAGCAGGGTGAAGGCACCCCGGGCCGGAAAGCTCCCCAGAGGCCCAACGACATCGAAGTCTACGTGAAAATTGACACGGGCGGGAACGCGAGTGGTTCTGAGCAAGCTGGGAAAGACTCTGCCTCTCCCTCGGCCGGCGCTGCCGCTCCGGGGAGCACCCGCACAGGCCCCAAACCATACGTGTGCAAAGAGTGTGGAAAATCCTTTTCTTTCTTGAGCAGCATCCGACGCCACATCAGGGCTCACACCGGAGAGAAACCCTATGGGTGTGAGCAGTGTGGAAAAGCCTTCAGCTACCTCACCAACTTCCAGCAGCACAAACGGACTCACACGGGTGAGAAGCCCTACGTGTGCAGACATTGTGGAAAGGCCTTTGCGTACTACAACTCTTACCAGCAGCACAACCGCACACACACTGGAGAGAGGCCCTACGTGTGTAAGATCTGCGGGAAGGAATTCACCAGCCGCACGTCCCTGCGCTACCACGAGAGCGTGCACACGGGGAAGAAGCCGTACGTGTGCAAGCAGTGTGGGAAAGCCTTCCCCTGCACCAGCTCTATCCGCAGGCACAGCATGATCCACACCGGGGAGAAGCCCTACGTGTGCACACACTGCGGGAAGGGCTTCATCTCCTCCAGCTCCTTCCGCATCCACGAACGCATTCACACCGGCGAGAAGCCGTTCATGTGCAAGCAGTGTGGCAAGGGCTTCGTGGGCCACAGCTCCCTGCAGTGTCACGAGAGGACTCACACGGGGGACAAGCCCTACATGTGTGAACAGTGTGGCAAAGCCTTTTCTTCCCTGAGCAATTTTCGAAGGCACAAGCAGATTCACACGGGCGAGAAGCCCTATGTGTGCAAGCTGTGTGGGAAGTCCTACCCCTACTACGGGTCCCTCCAGAGGCATGAGAAGAGCCACATGCGCGAGAATTCCACAGAGTAGGATGTATGAACGGCCTCAACAGCATGAGATACTCCAAGCATTCAAGGAAAGGACTCGCTGCCTCTCCACTGAATTCACAGACATAAAAGTGCGTGCTAGGGGAAGAAAGAAGGGAGAAGAAGAGGTTCAAGAGATTTCAGTTGTCCCCCCAGACCACCTGGGCACAGGTGGTTTGTAACTATAATCCTAGTTACTCAGGAAGCTGAAATCTGAGACTCTTCTCTCCAATTAGCCAGCAAAAAGCTGAAAGTCAGAGTTGTGGGTTAATTGATGAGAGTATCCGCCTTGAGTGAGCAACCCAAGGGGGATCCAGCCCTAGGCCCTGAGTTCAAGCCCCAGGACGGGTTCCCCCAGTGACACATGAAAATGAGCCTTGGACATTGGTTCAAAATCTTGTTTGTGAAACATAATTTTCAACCTGTCAAAAAAAATCATGATGGAGATGACTGAGCATCAGTCCTGTGAAGTCTGTTATGAATTGATTTATGTAAAATGCTCCAGGAGTAGAGCTGTGGCTCCAAGCGGCAACTCACTATCCTTTAGTAAAAGCTCAGGCCCTGATCAAACCCCAACCAATAACTCAAACAGAAAAATATTAAAAAAATAAGATGCTTCAAGATTGTACCATCTGGAAAAAAAGTTCTAAACATAAGGGGTTTTTTTTGGTTGTTTTTTTTTTTGGGGGGGGTCCGGTCATGGGGCCTGAACTCTGGGCCTGGGCGCTGTCCCTCAGCTCTTCAGCTCAAGGCTAGCGCTCTACCACTTGAGCCACAGGGGCACTTCCGGCTTTTTTCTTTTTGCTTATGTGGTGCTGAGGAATCGAACCCAGGGCCTCAGGCATGCAAGGCAAGCGCTCTACCACTGAGCCACCTTCCCAGCCCTTGTTTGTCCTTTTGTGAATGAGTAGAGCACTCAAAACTTGGTGGCCTTAGTTTTGTGTGTGTGTGTGTATTTATTAGTTGTGTTTGTTTTTGTTTTGTCTGACTTGGGTCTTAAACTCTGGGCTTGGGCACTGTCCCTGTACTCTTCAGCTCAAGGAAAGCATTCTACCATTTGATTCACAGTGCTACCTCCAGTTTTCTTTTTTTTTTTTGTGGGGGGGGGGGGGCCAGTCATGGGGCCTGAACTCTGGGCCTGGGCGCTGTCCCTAAGCTCTTCAGCTCAAGGCGAGCGCTCTACCATTTGAGCTACAGCGCCACTTCTGGCTTTTTTCTTTTTGCTTATGTGGTGCTGAGGAATTGAACCCAGGGCCTCATGCATGCGAGGCAAGTGCTCTACCACTGAGCCACCTTCCCAGCCCCAAGTTTTGTTTTTTTTGTTTTTTGGTTGGTCATGAGGCTTGAACTCTGGACCTGGGCGTTATCCTTGCTCTCTTCAGCTCAAGGAGAGCGCTCTACCCCTTGAGCCACAGCACCGCTTCCGGTTTTCTGGTGGTTAATTGGAGACAGAGTCTTACAGACGTTTCTGCCCGGGCTGGCTTTGAACTGTGATCCTCAGATCTCAGCCTCCTGAGTAGCTAGGATTACAGGAGTGAGCCATCAGAATCCGGCTAAACAGAAGTTTTATGTTTACCCATGGTTTGTCATGTAGCTAATTTCCACTCTAGAAAGTAAAGATGAAGCCAGGCACTGGTGGTTCATGCCTGTAATCATAGCTACTCAGGAAGCTGAGATCTGAGCACAGTTCAAAGCCAGCCCAAGTAGGTAAGTCCGTGAGACTCATCTCCAATAAATCACTAGAAAACCAGAAGTGCTGTGGCTCAAGTGGTAGAGTGCTCCCCTTGAGCTGAAGAGTTAAGGGACAGAGTTAAAGCCCCATGACCCACACACAAAATAAAGATGACAATTCCCTAAGGTTTCTTTAGGCATTAGGGTTTGACTTATAAAATCAAAAATCTCATAAATACAGATTACATCAACTTTATAAATTGTCTAGTTAACTTATGCTTCCCTCCCACCCCACACACCCCAGTCAGTTGTGGGGCTTGAACTCTGGGCTCTTCAGCTCAAGGCGAGTCTCTACCACTTCAGCCACAGCAACACTTTTGGTTTTCTGGTGGTTAATTGGAGGTAAGATTCTCATGGACTTTCCTGCCTGGGCTGGCTTTGAACCAGGATCCTTAGATCCCAGCCTCCTGAGTATCTAGGATGACAGGCATGAATCTCCCGGCTTAATTTTTTATTTTTTTTTGGTTTTGATCCTCAGCTCTCAAGTCTGCTGAGTAGTTAAGAATACAGGTGCAGGGGGCTGGGAAGGTGGCTCAGTGGTAGAGTACTTGCCTTGCATGCTCGAGGCCCTGGGTTCCATTCCTCAGCACCACATAAACAAAAAGCCGGAAGTGGCGCTGTGGCTCAAGTGGCAGAGCGCTAGCCTTGAGCTGAGGGACAGCACCCAGGCCCAGAGTTCAGGCCCACCACCGCACCAAAAAAAAAAATACAGGTGCAGGTCACCCACACCTGGCTGGTCACAACTGATCAAAATACAGCCTTGCTTTATGTGGTTTTCTGGTTTAAAAATTTTTTTTTTTTTTTACTTTTGTCCATTGTGGGGCTTGAACTCAGGGACTGGGCACTGTCCCCTGGGGTGAGGGTCTTCTCTGAAGACCACAAATCCATGCCTCTGGTCAAATGAGATGAAATTAAACAATCTCTGACAATTTTTTTTTTTTTTTTGTCGGTCATGGGGCCTGAACTCTGGGCCTGGGCGCTGTCCCTCAGCTCTTCAGCTCAAGGCTAGCGCTCTACCACTTGAGCCACAGCACCACTTCTGGCCTTTTCTGCTTATGTAGTGCTGAGGGATTGAACCCAGGGTCTCATGCATGCAAGGCAAGCGCTCTACCACTGAGCCACTGAGTGGGCTTGTTATGGGCCATTGATTGCTATTAAATGTAACAAGTTTCCCCTTCTGTGTGAGTCCCTGGAGGAATGAACATATATCTGTCTTTGGGGATCAGAACAGGGAAGTCGGAAGCAAGCCAAGAAAGGACATCTAATGAGGGCACAGGGATTAATCCGGGAGCTGGTGGGTAACCCTTGTCATCCCAGCTGCTCAGGAGACAGATCTGAGAAGTGGGGCTGTGGCTCCAGTGGTAGAGCGCCATCCTTGAGGGAAAAAGGTCAGGGGCTGCACCTGGGCCCTGATTTCAAACCGCAGGCCAGACTCCCAAGAGAGATCACTGCCACCAAAAGCCCTGCCACCCTCAGGAGCCATTCAGTCAGGGCCGCCATCCAATTAACAGCGGGAGATAATTGGAGTTCTGTCCAATCAGGAGCTTCACCTGTAGGAATGCTGCCCAATCAGAAGCTTCTACTACCACTGTCCAATCAAGATGAGTGGGAGGTGGGCGTGGGGTCTGTGCTGTGGCTCTTCCCATTGGGCGGCTCCCCGATGGGATCCTTCTTGTCCTAGATGTTAGGGTGCCAAGTGTTTGTCCCCCACTGTGCAGATTCTCAGGCTTCAGGGGCCTAGGGGATCCTAGGGGAATCCTGGCACTGGAACCAGGAGATGGTGAGATGTGGGGCACTGTGTGTCAGGGTGCGTGTGTCTGTCAGGGTGCAGACCAAAACGCTGGCATGGGAGCTGTGGCAGGATCGAGGCCTCCAATGTTGGCTTCCAGGGCCCCCGGTCACTGAAGCCCTTCCCTGGGACATCCTGGTGTCTTCATTCTTGTTTGCCTGTGCCCACTGTCCACTGGAGTATGAGGATCATCACTGACCCCCGAGAAAGGAGAGGGGGGCCTCTGGGACACCACAACGCCTGCACATACCAGCTACTGGGGAAGCTGAGATCTGGAGGCTTCTAGTGCAAAGCCAGCCTGCACAGGGAACTCTAGCTCCAATTAATCACCAAAAGGTTGGAAGTGGAGCTGTGGCTCAAGGGGTAGAACTCCAGCCTTGAGTGAAAAGCTTTGGGACAGCGCTCAGGCCCCGAGTTCAAGCCACACAAGACCAGCACACACACGTACACACACACTCCGAAGCTGCTTTTTGCATACACTTTCGGGCTGATTGTTCACATTGAATAAAGTCAAGTCCTACGTCAGTCATCATTGCTTGTTTTTGTACAGGTACGGGCACTTGAATCTAGGTGTGTTGTCTTTGAAATTTTTGGCTGGAAACTGTCCCTAAATCTCTTGAGCATGGGCTCCATTTCCAGTTTATTGATAGCTCCATGGAGATAAAGTTTCTCACAGAAAATTTTCCCCAGACTGGGTCTGAATCACAATCCTCGGGATCTCAGACTTCCAAAGTAGCTTAGGAAGATGGTAAAGGAAGGTTTTTGTTTTTTTTGTTTTTGGGTCCGGTAGTGGGCCTGAACGCTGTCCCTTAGCTCTTCAGCTCAAGGATAGTGCTCTACCACCTGAGCCACAGCGCCACTTCTGGCTTTTTTCTTTTTGCTTATGTGGTGCTGGGGAATCGAACCCAGGGCCTCAAGCATGCAAGGCAAGCGCTCTACCACTGAGCCACCTTCCCAGCCCCGGTAAAGGAAGGTTTTGTGTGTGGTGCTGCTTCTCCATGAGGGTGATCACAGCACAGGACTCAAGCTTCCGGAATGTTCACTGTCCCTCAACTCTTCAGCTCAAGGCGAGCACTCTACCACTGGAGCCACAGCACCACTTCCAGCTTTTTCTACTTATATGTTGCTTAGGAATTGAACCCTGGGCCTCATGCATGCCAGAGCAAGCACTCTACCACTGAGCCACCTTCCCAGCCCCAGGTTTTTTTTTTTAAGTGTAGTTGGGTACGGTGGCTCACGCCTATAATCCTAGGTTCTGAGGAGGCTGAGATCTGAGGATCATGGTTCAAAGCCAGCTCAGGAGGAAAGTGCCTGAGTCTCTCATCTCCAATTAACCACCTACGAACCGGAAATGGCTATGTGGCTCAAGAGGTAGAGCGCTTCCTTTAAGCTGAAG